GGGGAGGGGTTCATTCTCTAAAACCCAGGGGTCAGCAAACTATGACCCGTTGACTGTTAATTGTAAATAAAGTTTTATTGGTACACAGCCATGCTCATACCCTGACATTATTGTCTGTGGCTGCTTTTGTGCTACAAAAGGAGAATGAAATAGCTGCAGTAGGGATTGTATGGCCCACACAGCTTGAGATATTTTCTCTGTGACTATTTCTAGACAAAGTCTGCCTGCTCTTGCTCTACTCACCTTTGATCCCTGTTGATGTGTCGATTGCCCTGGGAGAAACGGCAAGGACTGTTGTGTTAGAGGTGAACTGACAGCTGGTTGAAGGCAGACCTCTGTGAGTGAAGCAGGAGGGACTGGCACCTTACAAGGGGGCAGAAAGAAGGAAGCAAAGAGTGGAGAACATCCTGGGAAGGGGTTGGGGTGAGAGGACGTGGCAAGCCTCCTAGCTCAGCCTGAACGGGTCCTGACCTGTGATTTTATGAGGCTGGAGAGTGTCTGGCAATAGTTGGGGGAGAGTTTTCCCATTTTCCACTGGTCAATGGCTTTCTTCCTCCAAGTTCCAGATCACTTTCTCAGCTGGTCAGTTTGTAAAATGCCCTCCCTGAGATCAAAGCAAGTCACCCCATCCAATACCTTCAGAGAAAATTGTATTTTACTGGATTTTGCCCAACACAGTAACTAATTGCCTACTATGTGCCAGACACTGGGGCAGGTGTAGGAAACAAAGCACAGACCTTCCCTGGAGAGTGCATAATCTACTTTTTTACTGCAAAGTCAGGAACCCCTCAACCCACGGACTTACGGCTCCAGCCTTACTCACTTGATACCTTGGGATGATGAGGAAGTGCCTACGATTGTGAATAACTGGTAACTAATTAACACCTGCAATCAAGATCATAAAATCATCACGGGTCTTCAGTTGTGTCTGCTGAGGACCCTTGCTCTCATCACTGGAGATTCTGCTGGGCTGTGTTCTCAGTGCCTGTCTTTTGCCAAGAGGTGGTGTGCGTAGGTAGAGAGAGCTGCAGTTTATTGAGCGCTTGCTACATTTCCAGTACCTGTGGGTTTACATGTGCTATCTCATTGAATCCTTGCATTCAGCCCCATGAAGTGGGGCCCCCATCCATTCTATAAGTGGAGAGCAGCTAATCAGTGATAGAGGTGGGATTTAAATCCCTGCCCTTCTGACTACAAAGCCATCCTTACAGTGTATTGTTCAGATTTGTTTAAGAAGGAAGGGAAAGATAAAAGCACATCTGGCTGGAAGCAAGGGCAGGTGGAGAGAAATTAAACAGTCTCACGTCTGCCTGTTTGAAATCCTGACACCTGAGATTTGATAGGGCACAGTAGCAAAGCAACAGCTTTGCCTTTTTCTTTGGAAAACAAAATGACCAACTCCCACTTCCTGGGTTCCAGAATTAACAAGTATTTACGTCCTAATTGCTTTGTCATAGTTGTTTCAGAATTTGAGAAAAATTAAACAATACATTTAAGAAATAAAAGTCTTCTATGGTTTTCCTCCCCGATTCTTAGAGCCAATTATTCTTATTAAGTTGGTATTTGTCAAGTCCCTCCCCATCCATGTTTCAAATTGTAGAGATTGTATTTGGTGACTTAAACCATTTCAGCTGCTTAGCAAGTTTGGGTTCTTTTCTTTTTTAAACATTAGTGGCTTCCAATGGTTAGAGAATGGTGGGAGATGACTCCCTATTTTCTTTTCCCAATGGCACCAATGGCTTTGGTAAAATGGAAGTCAATCATAGACCTCTTCTGCCCATCGGAAGCAGGCACCCAGGTGACATGCCTTCTATTTTATAGCCTCTGTCTGCCTCCTGAAATGCCCTTGTGACAGGAAATGCTCTTCTGACAGCTGGACTGGCCTCCCTTCCAGTCCTAGATGTGAGGTGGAGAGATGTAGGCTGTAAACCTTGTGGATTGCTCTGATACCAACGATGCTTATTCTATCTTGTGCAAACAAGAGTGGGATGATGTATGCATATGTGCCGTGCTGTGCTGGGGTGGACAGAGTCCTTTATGCACATCTCCTCTCGCTGCATTCAATGACATTATGTTGGCAGCTTAAAGTTGATCATGGTGGAAATATTACACCATGGAAATCAGCAAACACTACAAATGAAAGTGTTGCGGCAGTGTGTACAGCTAGCGTTACAGCCCTTGTTACAGCTCTTATTCGTTTGACCGGGGAAAGAACCGAGCGGCACAGGAAGAGTCTGAGAACAGCCTTTATTCTTCTACAGCTCCCTTCGTGTCTTCCGATGTTCTCCCCCTTCCTGCCCTTCTGCCCCTGCTTTTATACCCTTGGTAGGGCTCAAGAAGCATCCAATCAACTACAAGCTTTAACATCCAATCAGCAACAGGCTTTAACATGCAATCAGCAACAGGCTTTAACATCCAATCAACAACAAGCCTTAACATCCAACCAAAAACAGTGGGATTCAAAAATTATCCAATCAGGATCACGCAAGCAGCTGGCCAGAAACAGGCCACAACACAAGGGCCTGGGGCATTCCAGCGGCAGGCGGGGTCCCGGCGGGGCTGGGTGCCTGGGGGCCCAGCCCCAGTGGCGTGACTTTAACTGGCCATGCACAGCACTGGCCCCCGGAGATGCAGGCGTCCGACATTTTCCGCATCAAAAGCTTTCTTCTTTTTTTGTTTTCAGAGAGCTGTGTGTTAAACATTCACTTGTGTATGACTGCATATAATCCCAGAATTTATTTTTTCTCCTAGTATAAACACATGTTCCCATTCTTTACTATTACATAAAAAAGTACTGTAATGAATATATTATGTGGTACTTTGTACATGTGTGAGTGTCTTTAACATATATACCCAGTTAAATCAATAGAGAAATTTCAGTCTCTTCAATAATCAAATTGGAACAATAGCATTTCCATATGAGGAGAAAATTAAATTTTTACCTCCCACCATGCACAAAAAATAAGCTCAAGATATATTAAAAATGTAAATATGAAAATCAAAACTTTGAAAAAGAAAATATAGAAAAATTGACCTTTAACCTTAAGGTCAGAAAAGATTGCTTAAACAAGGGGAAGCAAGCATAGGAAGTATAGAGGAAAAGAATAATAAATTTTGATTTAGTCAAATTTATACTCCTTTATGACAAAAGCATAACTAAAAGACATGCCACAGATAAGAGAAGATTTATACTATATATAATTAAATAAATATTTGGGATATATAAGGAATTTATACAAATCGATAAGAAAAAGAGAGGGATAGGATCTAAGAGGAAAATGGAGAAAATGTTTGAATAGAACATTCACAAGAAAAAGCAAATGACCAAGTTAGAGAGACTTTTAACCTCACAAGTAATCAGAAAATATGTAAATTCAAATAACAACGAAATGCCACTTCAAGCTCAGGTTGGCTAAATGAAAAAGACTGACAATACCAAGTGTCAACAGAAAGATGAGGAAATAGGGAATCTCGTACACTGCTGGCAGGACAGCAATTTGACGCCATGTAATAAAGTTGAAATCTACAGACTTCATAGGCTAGAAACTCTAACTGGGTATATATGTTAAAGACACTCACACATGTACAAAGTACCACATAATATATTCATTACAGCACTTTTTTATGTAATAGTAAAGAATGGGAAAATGTGTTTATACTAGGAGAAAAAATAAATTCTGGGATATATGCAGTCATACACAAGTGAATGTTTAACACCCAGCTCTCTGAAAACAAAAAAAGAAAAAAGCTTTCATTTGTAGTGTTTGCTGATTCCATGGTGTAAATATTCCACCATGATCACTTTAAGCTGCCAACATAATGTCATTGAATGCAGCGAGAGAGGATGTGCATAAAGGACTCTGTCCACCCCAGCACAGCACGGGACATATGCATACATCATCCACTCTTGTTTGAACAAGGTATAATAAGCATCATTGATATCAGAGCAATCCACAAGGTTTACAGCCTACATCTCTCCACCTCACATCTAGGACTGGAAGGGAGCCAGTCCAGCTGTCAGAAGAGCATTTCCTGTCACAAGGGCATTTCAGGAGGCAGACAGAGGCTATAAATAGAAGGCATGTCACCTGGGTGCTGCTTCTGATGCAGAAGAGTCTATGATGACTTCCATTTTACCAAAGCATCTCTCT